GAAGGGAGGGGTCTATTTTCTACTTCTGCTTTGCTGAGTCAAACCATGTGCAAAGCAGTTCAGAGCTGGAGAATTTCAGTTCCTATAATTTTTAGCAGGAAAACAGAGCTGCTACTGTTTTTGTTCCTTCCTACAGAGATTTGTAGCTTTGCTGGGCAGGAACTCTCTGCTGAAATGTGCTTAGCACAGCTGGAGCTTCTCATCACAGCTGTAAAAGAAACAATTAAAAATAACATTTGTGCTCATCAGTAGTGCCCCATTGACTTCCCCCAGTGCTAATACTTGCACTCAGCTGCCTTGGATAGGGCCATTTGTCAAACTCCATTCCTCTTCTGAGTGGGTTGTTTCATAACAGGGCTGTCATCAATATAATGGATGAGGAAGATCCTTCCTTTACTTCTGGCACAAACTATGGTGTTTTGTCACCCTTTTCTCCAAGGCAGCATGGACATCAAGGAGTATTTTGCCAGAATTTCTTACCGAGGCTCCCATGATAAACCAGACCTGGAAACCCTGACAGAAATATTCCGGCACCACATCCAAGCAGTTCCTTTTGAGAACCTCAGCATTCACTGTGGGGAAAGCATCGAGCTGGATCTAACAGCCACTTACAACAAGATAGTGAGGAAGAAACGTGGGGGCTGGTGCATGGAGAACAACCACCTCTTATCTTGGGCCCTGAAAACCCTAGGGTACAACGTCACCCTTCTGGGAGCAAAAGTTTATGTCCCGGAGCACGATGCATACGCTGATGACATTGATCATCTGTTGCTAAAAGTGGTGCTTCATGACAAATCCTACATTGTGGACGGTGGTTTTGGGATGGCCTACCAGATATGGCAGCCGATGGAGCTGATTTCGGGGAAAGATCAGCCTCAGACACCCGGCATCTTTCGCTTCCTAGAAGAGAATGGGAACTGGTACCTTGAGAAGGTGAAAAGGAAGCAGTATGTTCCCAACCACAGCAACACTGCTCCTCATAACGTGGACAAAGAAGTTTGCCGTCGAGTTTATCTCTTCACCCTCCAGCCCCAAGACATAGAAGAGTTTAGAGCCAGAAATCTGTACCTGCAGACTGCCCCAGACTCACTTTTTGTTACAAAGTCCATCTGCAGCCTGCAGACCGCCGATGGGGTCCGGGCACTCGTTGGGTGGAAGCTCACTGAGATAAAGTACAATTACAAGGATAACATGGATCTGGTGGAAATCAGAATCCTTGCAGATGAAGAAATGGAGAAAACATTGAAGGAGAAATTCAATATAATATTAGATAAGAAATTTGTACCCATCAATACAAGCAGGTTGTCTCTGTTTTAACTCACTGCCTGTATTATAATTCAATATGGTGGCATTACGCGAATTCTCCCCCCTCTTCCTGACAAGAATCTAAAGGTTAATCTTTCTCTTTCCATTTACCCCAGCATAAGGCAGAACAGATTAGCATGAATCAGGAAAAGCAATTGATTTTCACAACTGTTCCTGCATCTCTCCTTGGTCTGAGTACAAATAATTTCTTCCTCACTCAATCAAATCACTCCCCTTCTGTTTGTGCTTAGCTGGCAACAGATGCTGCCCATTCCCTGCTCCATTCATCTCTTAAAAGCTTTTCCCACTAACCCAGAGCAGCAGGGGCAGGGAGATGGAACAGTGTGTCCCTTCCCTTATTACTTAGCTCTACCACCTGAGGAAAAAAAAAAAAAAAAAAAAAAATCACACCACATCTTAAATTAATGCCATACTATTTTTTGAAATGTAATAGCCAGAAAAATAAAGACATCCAATGCCATTTGCTGCACTAAGCCTGTCCTTCGTGCTCCTGCACCCCTCGCACTTTCTCACACAGCAATTCTAACACTCACTGAGGGGGCTATTTGTGGCTTAAAACTGGTGATGAGAAATACTAGGGGACAATTCTGCCTTCTTTCAGATTTCTGTACCCTCAGCAACATAACTAAAGCTTTCAAACTGAAAGCACCTCCTGTGGATTGTTTGTGAGCACCAGGAGAGGACTGCTGGAAGTGCACCCTCCTCACACAAGGCTGTCACTTCTATAACAAACATTACTGCTTGTCAATTAGTTTTTCCAAAATGTATGTATTTGACTGCTTGTAGTGATTCTAATTATACTGATAGAAGGAGAAATGATGAATCTTAGTCAGATACCTAAAGGCTAAGATTTTTAGCATGAGAAATTACACAAATGTAATCACTTTGCCCTGTGAGATGATGCTTGATGTCCCTTTATGTACAAATCACACAGCATTACAACTATGCACTTACAATTAATAACGTAAGCCAATTACAATTAAATAAAAAGACAAGAACTGTGAAGTATTCAATCTGTTTGTTCCTCTTGTGTTACAACCTCTAATCCCAAAGAAAAAAAATGACATTAATCACCACAACTACCCCGACTGCCTGCATGTGCTGATGTTTTACAGCTAAGGCTGTTAGAAATGCAGTAACTCACTGACCCTCCTTTTTTACTATTTGTTTGTTAAGCAATGTGTGCAGCTTCCTGCAACTAGAAATTTACAGTTAGCAAAAGCTGCTGCTGTTCTGCATCTTCCAAAGGCATTTCACAGAGACACAGCTAGCTCTCAAATGCATCCGTATGTGTTTGGATGTAAGCATGCACACAAGGCTCCCCCTATCCTATGGGGAAATGAGATTTTAACCTCGAAGTAAATTGCAGAAGAAAAAGGGGATTGTCATAGGGCAGGAGTATCCTGTCATGCAGGTGGTCAGCAGGAACCAGCCCAGAATCTACTGGATTCACAACTGAGCAGAGTGAAAGCAGAGATGGAGGAGATAGCCAGAGGAGGCTGCAGCAGGAAGGAAGCTGTGGCCTGGAAGCTCCTTGGCCCCTGCCTGGCTATTTCTCATGCTTTGGGTTGGTTTGTTGGCTCAGAGGAAAGGCTAAAGGGTTAAGCTCATTGCCCAGAGATGCCGCACATGAAGGGCAAACAATGACAGAGAAAAAGTGCTGTTCTTTCAGCTGACTCAGCTCCAGAGGTCCCTGCCCTGGCTGCTACCTGCTGGCCCAGCTCAGCACTGCCAGCCCTATCGAATCACATGCAGTTGTGTTGGGAGAGGAGAAAAAAAAGACTGCTCAGCTCAGATTTCACTAGTTTGCTTTTTTCCTTATCAGAGGCAAAGTCTTAAAGGCCTAGAAGGCTTCAGTAGCACCCTACCAGCTGTGATTAACCCTACTGCTGCCACCTCCTGTCTACAGGTCAGTGACTTGCTTGGCTTGGCTTAGCAGCTCTCAGTCCTAATTTACTTCCTGCAAGATTCCTTGACATCAGTGTCACTGACATATCAAATGTTGCACTCTTGCTTGGCTGCTTTGGCATGGGTGCTCCAAAGACTGAAGCACTGGGGCGATAGGGATTGCAAATGAGTGACAGCCACTTGCAAAAGGTGCTCATGCTACCTGTAATGGATTGCTGCCTTGCATTCCTGAAGGACTTTTAGCTGTCAAACAGTAATTTGGGAGGTTTAAGCCTACACGATGTTATAAGCAGTCTGGGGAATGCATCATGTTCTGGCTCTTCATATAGCACCTACCACAGTTAATTGTATGGCAGGGCTTTCTGTGCTTATGCAAAAAAATAAATAAAAAAAAAATCAAGTAATAAGACCATTAGAACATACAATATTATGAAAAATTAAACTAATCTGCCTTCCTGTTCTGGTTCTGCTGGAGGAGAATGCTATCCCTGTCAGGCAGCAAAAAGCAGCCTCAATCTTTAAGGGCAGCAGCTTTCATTGCAAACACTCCTGGGAACTTAGCAGCTAGCCAGCCAGCCTGCAGCTCCTAGTGCAGAGGTAAGCACCCACATGTCTGAGCTCTCACTTCTGCATGTAGCTGTGGACAAACCTTCTGCCACCCCCGTGCATCTGCATACCACATGCTTTGCACTGTAGGCATATTAGCAAAGTGTGAATTACAGCCACCTGAGGATTGACAGTATGTGTAGCACTGCAAGGTCGTTGCCAAAGTACAAAGATCAAGTGCTTGAAACGAACTCATTTTATGCTGAGCCAGGGTGTATGAAAAAGCCAGCTCCTGTCCTGCAATTCAGCTTAAAATCAAATACATTGTATAGGCACGTGCAAGAGGATCTTACCTTGGAAGTCTCTCTTGAATTCTGGTAGGGAAGAATCATTCTGGTTTTGGATGCAAGCCATTCCCTGGGTGAGGGTTTGCACCGCTATGCCCTGCTGTGGTGGGCAGTGGTGCTGTGTAGAAAAGGAAGTCTGCCTCCAGGAAGCCGTGAGAGCAAATAGCAGTTTACATGGCTGCTACCTGCCTACATTCACTAACAACGACTCTTTCATACTGCAGCCTTATCCTACACAGATATTTCAGTAGCAGTAGATACCCGTCTCTATTACACAGTTGTTAAACTGATGAGGTCCCGAGCTGAGGAAGCTGTGGCACAAGCTTTTGCTACAAGTTCCCCAAGCCCAGCTGCCTGTGCCCCATGGAGGCTCCCAAAGGCTCATACACCACAGGGATCCTAATGCTGCAGATGGGCTGCAGGGCTCTGGCTCACAGCAGGGATGGATGGGCACTTACTTGAAAGCCACTGCCAAGTTTATGAGATTCACCAGGCTAAGGGACTCACTTGGCTCCTCCTGGGCACAAAGGTGCAGTTTGACACCATCATAAGAATGAGATGCTTCTATCTGGCTATGCAGAATTGCTGAAAATGAGAGTAGAGAGAAAAATGAGGCAGAAAACCAAAGGATGGGCTTCGCAGCATGCACGTCTGCATCTATTTGGTGGTATGGCTCTGTACAATCAGTGTTTCCTAGGAGATTCTGCCAGAGATGAGTGCTCTTGTCCTAAAAAGAGATGAAAAAAAAAAAAAAAAAACACACAAAATGCAGTATCAAATACAGTTTTTTTTTTTCTTCACGTGGCCTCTTTGGGTCCTTCTGAAGCTAAAATGTTTGTTTCTTATTCCCTTATTGTGATAGTACTCTGTTTTATCATATTTTCCTGTGTCACACAGTCTGAATCTCGGTACTAGTGCAAATCAGCAGAAATACAACTAAGTGTGTTATGCTGATGGCTTCAAAGTTGGGGCTAAGGTCTAGAGATAAGGTCATATGGCGCATTCACCTTCCAGGACAAGGGCATTTTCATTTATGTGTTCAAAATTTATGTGATTTTCAAAAGCTCCCTGCACTCTCAGAAATTGGATCTAGCTGCTGGTCATTTCTAGGAGAGCAGGTGGACCAAAACTGAGAATGGTTGCTGGGAGGTGATCTCTCCCATGTCATCTATGTCAAAGAATTATTGGAAAATCTTCTCAGGGAATGTATGAGTGATTTCAAGGAGGAAAAAAAAATCTTCAGACCTTTTTGGAACTTCATACAGTCCTTATCAGATTATAAATCATTCTGGGGGAAAAAAAACCACAAACATATTTGGAATGGAAAAAAAAGCTAAATGAAATCGAAATTAAAGGCAAGACAAATCCCTACAGACACCAAATCAGTCAGTGGATTAAAAGTCTTATAGGGAACCTTTTGCATCTCTGCTCTTTCCGCTAATGAAAAGAAAGGGAATGAGAGACACGAAGACACAAAAACATATGCAACAATTTGAGCTGAATTCTTTGGTTTGTAAAAGATAGCAAAAGAAACCAAAAGTCACTGGATGCGTCCTGAAGGTGTTTGAAGTAATTATGAGTTCTCCTGGCTTTTGGGTAGAACAATTAACAATCCCTTCTTTTTAACAGACAGAATCAAAGCTGTGTCTGAACTCCACAGGAAAACTAAAGAGATTAAGAACAACAACAGTTTACTTCGCATGGAAGCTTGTCTGAAATAGTGACACATTGAGGAGTTTATCCTGGTTAGCTAAAGCCATGAATGTGAAAGTCCCCTGTTAAATTATCTGTGTGATAAAGAATTACTTAACTGTTACAGTAAAAGCAGTAGTAAAGCATTGCAGTTACTATTGCTAGCATAGGCTAACAGCTTGTTTGCAAACCTCATTTGCCAGTTTCCTAAAATTTTGGTCACGTGGACATTCATCCAGGGCCAAAGATTCTGTTATGCCATGTGCTGTGTTTTCCTGTAGCAGAGACACCCAACTGTGCTGAAAACAATTTCTGAGAGATAGAGCTTTAGTGTTACCTGCTTCCCTTCTTGTCTCTTTAAGAAATACAGATGACAGAAGCAGCTCTAGCCTGTATTCATCTCTACCAAAGGCACAGGTGTCTTTCAGATCTTCAGTGAAACAGCCTCAGATACATTTGCAGGCTGGTTAACCTGTGCTACAGAAATGGGAGGGAAGCCCCTTGAGAGCTGCACAACAGTAACTGGCTATTTTCCTGCTCACACAGGTAAAATGAACATTCAGGAGTATTTCTCAAGAATTTCTTTTGATGGCTCCCGTAAGGATGCAGACTTGCAAACCTTAACAGCCATCTTCCAGCATCACATCCAGGCGATTCCTTTTGAAAACCTCAGCATGCATTGCGGAGAGACCATTGACCTGGATTTGCAATCTACTTACAATAAAATAGTGAAAAAGAAACGTGGTGGATGGTGCATGGAAACAAACTACCTTTTATTTTGGGCTTTGAAAGAAATGGGGTATGACGTCTGTGTGCTCGGAGGAAACAGTTATGACCCAGCAAAGAAGGCATACATTGATCAAATAAATCACATCCTACTGAAGGTTGTGATCAAGGGAAGTTCCTACATAGTAGATGCTGGTTTTGGTGGTGGTCCCTACCAAACATGGCTGCCGATGTTGCTGATTTCTGGGAAGGATCAGCCCCAGATTCCTGGCATCTTCCGCTTCACAGAAGACAGTGGCATCTGGTACTTGGAGAAAGTCAAGAGGAAACATTATGTTCCAGAGGGAAGTGTTCCTTTCTCTGATACTCCAGAAATGGGCAATATCAGAAAACTGTATTCATTCACACTTGAGCCAAAACATATAGATGACTTCCAGGAGCTAAACACATACCTACAAGTGTGTCCGGATACCATACTTCAGAAGAAGTCCATCTGCAGCCTCCAGACAACTGAAGGGTTTTATGCCCTAGTTGGATGGACCTTCTCTGAGATGAAGTACAAGTACAAGGAGGACACAGACCTGCTGCAGACCACAACCCTGACAGATGAAGAGATTGCGGAGACACTGAAAGAAAAATTCAACATAGTGTTAGAGAACAAATTGATACCAGTTAATGTTCGTGGCTTGCCACCTAATCTGGTAGATTCCATATAATTCACAACACAGCTAAATGAGTCTTTAAACGTCCAGTATTGAAACTTCTAAAACTAACATTAAAAGCACTAATGAATCCTAAAAATTCAGCTAATTAGATAAGCAGAAAGCTTGGTAAATTCAAGTATATTGTTAGTTAACTGCCCATTCTCATTTCATATTTTTTCTTACGCTTCTCCTTTAGAAACTAAAATATCTTACTTCCTTTAATCTTCTCATGTGGAAACTGTATTTTGTCTCCCTTAAATTTTGTTCCAACTCTCTGTATCTCATTTGCTGCTGCTGCTGTAGCAGCAAAAAAAAAAAAAAAAAAATCTTAAGTATAAAACGAGACCAAAATTATCTAGAAGAAAAAGCTGTATTACCATTTTACACAGAAGATCTGTAACGCTGTAATGTTTTTTGGTATTATTTCCAATCTTCTTCTCAACACATTTTTTGCAAATTGTTCAGTTCTTTTAATGGTCTGAAGCAGAGACTTGAGCTGGATTTGGCCATAAAAATTTCATAAGGAAAAAAGGAAAGAAAGGTTAAAAGTTCCTCAAAACACCCCACTATTAGGTACTGATGAGTTGCTGATGAAGTGAGTTGAGAGACTCATGTCCTATTCCCTTACCAGATATTGGCTTGAAATGAGCTATTCATGTAAGGGAACTTAAAAACAAACAGAAAACCCCTCCAAACTCTTCAATTCTGTGCTTTCAATTTTAGCTCCTTTCAGTACGATTTTTCTGAAATTGAAATAAGATCAATAGGAGCTGAGACTCTTCAACAGTTCTTGAGAAAAATCAGACTTCTGGTATCTGAAATTGAAACAATCAATATTAGACCAACCTCTGAAAAATATAATATAAACAGTCAGGGCCCCGCTTTCCTCTGACATCAAACAGGCACAACAATAAGCTGTGCTGCTGTTTATTATCAACAGCATTCTGCACAAAAGTGACAATAAAGACAAGATCCTGGAAAAGTGAAGAACTCTGGGAAGTTAAGACATGCCAGCAGTGTGTTTTCACAGCATGTTGGATGCCTTTTACCTTTCTGATGCTGAGTTTCATGGCAGGTGCTGAACACGATGAGCAATGAATGAGGGTGGCATAAGAACATCGGTCCTCAGCCACACCAACTGATGGGGCAGTGTGTGCCTAAAGCTCAGGTACAGCTCCCAGATACATCCTGACATGGTTTTCATCTTCCCAAAAAGGATCACCATCTTCCCCATCCATCAAATGAAGGAGACAGGCTGCACAAGGAGAGAATCACAAACAGCTATGTAACATCACGAAGGTACAGACAGACAATTCTGGGAGAGCATTACTTTGTTCTCATGCAACACTGTGCCAATAAATGTTTGTCATGGTATTTGTTACAGCTCCCAAGTAACTACTGCTGCAGTGGAAGCTTTGAAGGGATCAAAAAGGTTCTTTGTGTGCCAAGATGGATCATTTCGTACATCCGTGGAGCATGGGAAAACACAGCCTGCAAACACCTTGGCAACTGCTTGCACCAGGAGGAAGCGTAAGACTAACCTCCTCCACAAATTGCTCCATTACCAAATAACAGCAGTGCAATTATAAAAAAACTACAGAACCATTTGTGAATATCTACCGAAATTACGTTACATGGAGAACAAGTTCAGGCTGGTCTTAACCAGCGGAAAACATTAACATCTACTAATGGAGAAGAAACAAAGTTTAATTTGCTCATGGATCAGTGAAGTCCAAACATGTGCATTCATTTTTGGTGGACTCTGCCCTTTCTTGGCACTTAAGATGCAGGAGTGAGGGACTGCAGAGCTTAGAGAAGTCAGCCCCCACAACTTGTATCCATTGCTGGCTCTCCAGGCTGCTGCCCCAGCAATAACCAACCCAGAAACTGCAAACATCAACAAAGAAGGTTATTTTAAGAGGTAAGCTAATTTTCTCAGAACTAACAGACCAACCAAATAAATGGCTTCTTTATGATGGTAAAAAGATATCGGGACCCACATAAGCAAAATTCTCCTTAGCATAAATATTTTAAAAACGTAGAGCCTAAAATAATGGCTGCTTATAGAGGGCAAAATGATAAAGTGATCTCAAATCTTCTGCCTCTTCAGGAGGAGATTCACATGTCTACAAGAGAAACTTTAGCCAGAGCAGTACATACAAATTCAGAATGACAATCTTTTCTTAAAAATTAACTTTTTTAAATTTTTAATTACATTGAAGGACATTGCACATTCAAAGATTAAAAGACCATTTAATAACCAGTAGATCCTGCTTTTTGAAAATAAAATTAAAGTCCTTAAAAAAAAAGTTAAAGTGAAATTACAGGCTGTGTTTTGCCATCTTCAGAAAGCCTGTGTGCTGGTATGTTAGGATTAAAGTAGGCAGATATATATATATGTTCTAACAGTGAAATTGCTGATAATGTGCATAATCCTAGTAAGGTATATTTGTGCTTGAATACCTTCATTTGCACATTTAGAAGAAGTCCTTGAGAGTTTTCTTGCTCACAATTGTAGGATTTCCTTTTTAAAATCTAGGTTTTTATCTCCTATGGTTAAGATCTAACACAGATCAACATAGTATTAGGGAACCGCAGAGAGAAATTACTAGTATTATAAACTCAAGAACCAACTTTATGCTGGTGTGATCTACTTAGCATTTAATCTGACTAGGTAGGATCAGATAGACTTGGATTCTGCAAGTCAAAAGAATGAAATGCCAGAACTTTGTGTTCTACTGAACAAACATTACACTGGAATATCCTCCAGCAATACACTCGCATTATCACTGGAAGTTAAATTCCCTTCTGTAGAAAATAACATGCAGCTTTTGATGAGGCTCTCCATTCACTTTGGACAGCTGCTTCTATAACATCCATATGCACATCATAAACCTGTCACTGAAAATCACCTTGAGAAATTCTAGCATGCAGTAAACATTCAATGGTTCACTGCAGCATTTATCTGAATACAATAGACTTCCCAAGTCACTAATATTAAGTGTCTAAACCTCAGCTTACTGCATTCACAAAAGATTTCCAACTAGCTTTGCAGGCTGTCAAGAAGCTAAATATTTGCACTAACTCTAGACTGCTGAAATGCTTAGGATTTTCTTTGTAAAGATTCAAGCCTTCAAAACCTTTTACCTCCAGTTCAATGTCCAAGCAGACAATCTACAGTATTTTTTACAAAAAGTATCTCACCAGACATCTACAGGTCCCGGCCCACAATGATGGCCAGCAGATTACAATGGACTGTTGTGAAAGCCACATCGGTGCACATGACTTTTCATGGATTAGAAGACAGAAATTACGTTGTATAGCTCCTCATCCAGCAGACTAGGTCATGAAGAGTCCTGTGAAGCCAAGACAGGAGATGGGTTCAGCTAGAGATAGGACAGACAAGGTATATCCTGAGCATAATGCTGTTACGCCTCCTTTGGCAAAATAAATCAAGTTTTGGGAAAGGCCATGTCTAGAGAGCTTTAAGCCACTCACTGCCCACTTTCAAAGCACCCTGTGGGCACAGCAAGGACCAGAGATATGCTCTTTGTATTTTAGGTCAGTCGCCTCCATTCAGGTTCATTATTCCTACACCAAAACGAGTTTGTGCAACACTCAGAGCAGACAAGAGACTCAGTGGTCTGTGTCTCTTGAAAAGGTCAAGAGTTTTTTTTTCCAGATACAATTACCTGAATAAAATTTGACACTTTACAAAATGTGCAGGGAGTATCATTTTCACTTCTTGTAAGTGGTGAAAAGAGACACCTAGAGAATGAGCCATTCGTTTTTTGATCACAGAGTAGCGGCAGGCTCATGAAAAGAACATGTGAATCCTGGCTCAAATTATTTGCCCTCCAACTGTCAGACAACACTGCTTCCCCCACTGACACTCATTTCATTCAGCAGTTAGACTATTTTTCATGAAACATACTGAACACTCCCTAGTGTGATCTTGCATTTCTTCTTAACCCTGCCCTTACAATGCAAGGACATCAAATCCCCATTTTGCAGGCATTGTGTATCAAGCTGCCATTCCATCAGTTGTTTGCCATAGGGATGTCTCCAGGACAAAAAATAAACCCCCGCATGCACTGCTCTTCTTAACCCTGGGAACTGTTTGATGTGAATACTTGTTACCTTTAAAAACTGCTCTGATGAGGTTCAGTAGATTAATGCATCTTTGCAGGCAGCAGCCTGGGCAGTTCTTCACAGCATCATAAATCATTGATGTAAAGAAACAAAACTAAAACACATTTCCTTCCTTCACAGGAGACATGAATCTTGAAGAGTATTTTGCAAGAACTGGGTATAAAGGTTCCCTTGAAAATCAAGACTTGGAAACCTTAACTGATATATTCCAGCACCACATCCGTGCTGTTCCATTTGAAAACCTCAGCATCCATTGTGGGGAGAAAATTACTTTGGAGCTGGAGCACGTTTATAACAAAATTGTGCACAAGAAGCGTGGTGGTTGGTGCATGGAAAATAACCAGCTATTGGGTTGGGTCCTGAAATGCCTGGGGTATGACGCCAGCTTTTTGGGAGCCTACGTGTTCAACCCACATGAAAACGCGTATGCCACCATCATGACCCACCTCCTGGTGAAGGTAGTTATTGAGGGCAAAGCCTACATTGTTGACGCAGGCTTTGGTGTATCCTACCAAATGTGGCAACCAATGGAGCTTGTATCAGGGAAAGACCAGCCCCAGGCTCCTGGTATCTTCCGTTTCACAGAAAAGAATGCCATCTGGTACCTCGAGAAAATGAGACGGAAACAACATATCCCCAATCAGAATTTCTCTAATTCTGATCTCCTAGAGAAAAAAGACTGTCGGAAAGTGTATATGTTCAGTCTGGAACCACGGACAGTGGAAGATTTCTGCTTTCAGTGCACGTACCTTCAGACGTCTCCAGAGTCCCTCTTCACAAAGAAGTCCATCTGCACCCTTCAGACCACCGACGGCTTCCGAGCTCTCATTGGGTGGACGCTCACTGAGACCAAATACAATTACAAGGAAAACATGGATCTGGTAGAATTTATAACCCTTAAAGATGAAGAGGTGGAGAAGACACTGAAAGATAAATTCAACATCACCCTAGAGAGAAAGCTTGTCCCAATTAACATCAAAGGATTTTATACAATCTAGATGACTGGAAAAACCCACGGTAATGCTGCACGCGTACAGCGCCTTCCATGTCTGTGCAATCACTACTGCAAGATTATGGGATTCCCTTGCAGGCAACTGAAGGAAAAATACATTAATACCAGATTAAAGTGAATTTCACTCTGGAGAAAGGAGAAAAACAGGGATTTAAGACTCATCTGTCAGGTAGATGGAATTATTTTCTGTGAGATGACTGCGGTTCAGTTTTTTGGCACGAATGTAGAGACTGATTTGAATCTGGTTATAAACTTGGGTAAGAAATATCTCAGAGTAATTTTGGAGTGCCTGTAGCACATAAATTGGAGTAAGGATTATTAATTGTGATATGCTGCCAACACATTTTCTACGGCCATTATAGGAAAAAAGTCATCTGCGAGCTTTTAGACAATGAAGTATGCATTTAAAACTTCATTTTTCACCAGATCTAACCACTCACTGCTCATCTCATTACCTTTAATATAGGTTGAACAATATTGTCATCTTTGAAAGGAACATTAGGAGGTGTAATTCCTTCACCATCATCCTTAGATGAAAACACAGTACGAAATGAAAATTATCATCATGTGCATCCCTTCTGTCATTACTGCAGCAAACTGCCCAAGGTAATTTTTGGTACATAGGTATTTTTCCTTTGATGCGAATTGTATATACTGCAGCATTATTGTGTCTGATGGGTTCTAAGGAGATACCTACAAGCTTTGCTTCTGATAAATAATCATCCTGTAACAGGTTGAGTGGTGCTTAAATGTCTCAACTAGCTTAGATGTACTTCTACCTCAAATGGGGCAGAAATTTCATATTTTCAGTATTGCAAATTATTTGTATAACAGCAGTAGAACAATGAAGCTGACCCCGCTACAGCCTTAAATCCACCCTGCTTTTTGTGTATAGCAAATATGGGAATCCGCATGCTATCCTGAATGACAAATGCTTAGCATAAGATCTCTAGTGTCACAAGTTAGTTTCGTCATCTGTATTCAGTTGAAGAAAAACAAACAAATAAATAAATCAAGCCACCATGGAGCCAACCAAATATGAAGAAACTCCTTTAAAGTATTTAACAATTGCATTTCCCCTTTAAAAATTAAAAAAAAAAAGTTTCCCCCATCACGCTTTTCTGCAAAAAGCCTGACCAAGAAAACCACTGAAGAAGCAAAAATGCTCTCAAGTCCATGAGATCAGCAGCAATACTGGAAAATACCCTTCACACGATAATAAAGGGAAACAAAAACATGAAGAGTTGCTGTCTTGCATGCACCATTAACTAAGTAAATGAGGTCTGCACAGTCGTGCTGTCGATCTGCTGGTCAACCCTGCCCGCCAGATTTCTTGAACCAAACAGGCCAATACCAAATTTGGCAGTGTGCTGGAGATGGTAAGTTGTGAGAGCTGCCTGTAAAGAACGTGCAGGTTGAAGAGAAGGTCCCCTACCATGTCCTGTGCTGGGCTGGCTCCTCCCTGTCCATTGGCCATGGTGGCAGTTCTGCCTGCTCAGAGACAGAGAACTAAGGACCAAGCAGGAAGCAATTGGAGACAATGAAAGATCTTACTGAGGTGGGAACACTTTTTCTATGAACTAAAGACTTTGTTCTGTAATTTGCATTCTTACTACTACATCATACTAAGGTCTCATTAAGGGTTTTCACCCCTTTCTAAGTGATTGATCACAAGCTGTTCCTCAAGATCCCAAGGAACATTCTGAGTTTCAGAACACTTACCACCTCCATTTTGGCTGACAGAAAATCCCATCTGCATTCAACCTAGGTCGCCAAACCATATTCCTCTATGCAGTGAACTACAGCTGTTCTCTGGTGCTGCCGCCTCTTGTCTTGAGGGCAACCATTTACAGGCTAGTTATTCTGCCTCTGTATTTCTCTAGAGATGTTCCTGCTATTGCTCCCAGGTAATTGCTCAGGTTGTGATGTGCAAGGCATCCTCAAGCCGAGCACTATAGACTCACACTTTAACCATGTCTGTAAAGATGAGATTCAACACAGGTACTCCTTCCAAGTATTACTTTCTTAAGATTTATGTGGTGGGCAATGACTGAAGCTTCAGCCCTTTCTCTGACTCCACCTGTTGATAACAACTTTCTGAGATGTGTTTTTCCTCTCCACGTGACAAGTATAACCAGGTCCTCATCATGCAGCATCAAATCACATAAAGAAAAGTCAACACGTACAGGAACCGTTCCACACTTTAAAGCTCCCGATAAGCTGATGAAAAGCCTGAAATTATTCAGGTGTGAATGTCAGACCCAAAATGTCTCAAAGGTTTGGGATGAGAATGGTGTAAAAACAAATAAAACCAAACAAACCCAGAAGCCTCCTGCCGCAGTTTCACTAGCAAGGCATTATTACAGAAGACAGACACTCTCCTAGACCAAAAAGAAAAATACAAACAAGTAATGAAAGCATGAGCTCTCAGAGAAGCTTGCATTCACATGCAGTAGTGAAACAAAGAATCACACAGCTGAAAGGCACTTTGACATCCTTTGCCATCACTATACCTTATTAACAATCTCTCTTTAAGAAAGGTTTAATGAGAGCCTAAGGTATTGTGCAGTTTTAGTTGCAGATTGTTGTTCAAATGAAGCAGAGCAAACGCATAGAACCCGCCGCCTCCTCCCACCCCCACTTTTACAATTCCAAGTAAAATTTACAAGTACAGCATTCCAATTAACAGAAAGATGAGACAATTTCTTTTTAAGTCTGAATTCTGGAGCAGCTCCCAGAATCCCAGCCCAGCTGCCCATTACACACACAATGCCCAATGGCAATGACAGCCATCCACAATTGTGTAACTGTATAATGGAGAATCTTATTAGAAAACAAGACACACAGAGGAAGAAATGCCGTTCAAATTTCATGGCACCACTGCCCATCCTCCTCTCTCTACAAAGAGTCAAAGTTTAAAAAGCTCATGCATTACTAAAGGGAAGATTCAGGATGTCTCACTGCAGTTGCATTCTGGTCCAGTAGTTTTTAAGATCCAATTCTTAGCAGAATAAAAGAAGCAGAAGAAGAAGCATGAGCAATAAAGACGAAGTTGTTCAATTCTCACATTTCCAGCACTGTCAAAAAGAGGGACAAAAATTCCACCTGTCAAGAAGCATGTTTAAACTTAACACAGTGAGCTGTCAGCAGGCATGAACTACAACACACTTTGTTTGTTCACCCTAATAGGTACCTTAGTACAACAGGCACAATCACTTCTCATGTCTGGTAACTCTGAATTTTGCTTTTTATTTTTTTTATTTGAACAGAAATACTACTTATCCCAACTTCTTTCAGATCTCAAAGATCTCTACTTTTCATTTGGAAAACATGACCACGTGGGTTTTAAATTCTACAGCTTAGAAAGATGTTCATGAAAATGGATCTGCGTTTGAGACCGTTTCAGAGCCAAGAAAGCTTGAATTAATGTAGGTTTGCAGTATGAATATTTCACTGCTACACTTACAGCTCTGTCAAGAATAATTCAAATAGAAATTTCATACAGCACAATGTTTCTACCTTGGCTACAAAACTAGAGGTCTGATTTAAAAAAAAAAACCACACACATTTATATTTATAAAGTTGGAAATACAGATGGGTATTTCTGAGGATCCTATCATAATTCTAAATGCCTGCTGGTAACTTTGGACACACAGGCACCTTTAGAAAGTAAGACTGGGAAGATTTTGAATTCTGCCTCATTTGTAGTAATATACCATGAATCTTAACATTGCACTTTACAAACTCCTCATGGATAGGCTCTGATTATGCTACAACCAAGTAGTTGGTCATGCTACAGCATTTCAGTAGCTCACCAACCACCAGCTAAACACGAACAAAGCACCCAGATCTGAAGATAATAAACCAAGACCAGACACACTACAGTCCTCACAGTTGGTATTAGGCATTTTCAGGAGACAAATGAACCATCCTTTCTACCTCTTAAACTCCAAAACCATGGATTTACTTGAAGCTGATGAGAGTTCACTCTGCACAAACACACCTTGCCACTCAAACTCCCAGCCATTCACCAGGACACAACATGAAGTTAAGGACCTGTGTATGGCAGAATACACTTCAGCTGCACAAAATTACCCTTCATCGGACTGAACAGAATCGTGCAGTGCAACAGAACACACTGCATACAGACTTGACCAAGCAAGACTTCACAAAATGTTTACCTGAGCCACAGGTAGTTACCAGAATTACCCCAGAACTCCTCTACACAATGTCACTGAACACTCCACTTTCCCTCAGGGAAGGGCAGTTGTGGGAACATGGCTGCTGGTGGTTCAAAGAAGACACCTCCCTCAACTATCCAGCACAGCTATGTAGAAATTCTCATAAAGAAACGTATTCTCATAGAGGGGAATCAATTTCCTACTAATAAGCAAGAAAGAATAATGGGATACATTCTGAGTTTCTCTTGTGATGACCAACAATAAATCATTTCTTAGCTCAGGTCATATCTTCCGTGGGAAGAAAAACGTCTTGCCATCATTAACTTCTTTTCAGCCAGTGATAATATATGATCAAATTTTAAGTAATTCAACCAGTTGCATTTAATTAGCTCTGAAAAACTATCTCAGATCATGAATCACAGACTTTCCACCTGTACGAAGCTTCCTTACTAGGTTAGAAGTGTATTTCTCTTTCCATGTGTGATCCATCTTGAATATCTAACAAGGTGCTCCTGATGTACAGATTATAGTTCATATATCACACATGCAAATACAGACGTAAGGCTCTTTCTTCATATAATTGAGTTGTCGAAAGTGTCGTTTCACTGAGTAGTTTAAAAAATGGGAAAAAAAGAACCCTCAGGTCCTCGATGGAATGGTCACCACTTGCAACAATTTAACAAATTTCTTTCTCCAGAAAGTTATCATCAAGGATGAGTAATTTAGACACCTAGATTAGGAAAGTAACAGATGAAAACTACTACTTTTTGAAAGCCAGAATGCAGAGAACTGCTATGATTTCAGACAAAACCAGACTGACCTTTCTGTTTTCCAAAGCACTGACAAAAGGCTGTGATGCTTGGGTCCTAGCACTGCTTCAGATGCCTTTATTACATGCTGAACAGAGAAAAGCTCAGTCAGCTGATATCTGGGGACATCCGCAACCAGCACAAAACAGGATCGTTTCTTCTGACTGTATTAAGCACAATTGTTTTTTAACATTAAATTAGTTAAACCACAGTCATTAACCACAAAAAAAATAATCAGTTTTTATTAGCTCTCCAAACATGTTTCTGAAGCCGTTATTGTGCTTCTCTGTTAAGATCCAGATAATTATAAGTTTGGAATTTTTGGGTTGGAAAAAAAAGACAAGATTAGCAAACTTCTTTTGGAAGACAGAAATTGAAGGCTCACAATCTGCTCAAGTGTCAAACTGGAAACATTGTCCAATATTTGCCTTGCTCTAGGAAAAGAAAAGCTTTGCTATAAGCTCCTATTTTTAAATATGCTTTATAAAAAAATAAAATTAGAAAAATGGATTTTGTTTCTGTTCTTTTCCCAGCTTATCTGTCAAGAAGTTAAAAAATGTTTCCACTGTTTTTTTTTTGGTGGATTTTTTTTTTTTTTGAATTGAAGAGAGCAAAGGTTTTCATTTTCATAATAAAAATAGCAGCAAAAGCTGAACTGTCTCACTGGATTGGATTGAGCAAAGCTCATCTTTACTGCAAATACTTATTTTAGATGTTATCGTAAAATATAAATACTGTTGCTATTGATTGCACGTTGACACTCATCCTAGTTATGCACAACATTAAAAACAGCTGATGGGTTTAATATCCCACATGTTAAAAGCTGCTTAGAGAGGAAAGGATGTATGACATCCATTATATACACATCCACTTCAGAAAAGGCTTGTTATGTGGACAGCAGGCATTTCAACAAGGATGAACTCAGATTTACAATTCTGTCTTTCACATAAAATAGCAAAAACTCCAAACAATCTTCAGTTCTCGGTGCCATATTGGCTATATTTGGTAGACAACACTTCTATTAGCTCCAGTTGTGCAGCTGACATTAATCCTGAGGTTTTAAGAACATTTTCCTAGCTTTCTTAGGTCTTGTATTACTGTTCTCTTCCTCATCTTCATCATGGAGAACACGCTGGTCTCTTTTTTTCAAGAATTTCTTCCCTATTGTTCCCACTAGTGTTTCATATCTGTAAAGATAATTAAAAAGTGACAGTTCTTACTATAATCAGAGAGAAGTTCAATGCAGGAAATCATAAATGTAATCAACAATTAAACTATTGTAAAAAGCCCATCACTGGCAGCTTAAGCAGCACAAGTGCTACATAATCACAGATTAAATTATTATTCATTTTGATAGTTTAAGACTTTTAGCAATCTGGAGCTAAGAGGGAATTTGCATAGAATACATGGATGTCAAAAGGTGGAAAACAACTACAGGATTTTTTAACCCTGAAAGTCATGGAGCTTCCACTGAACAAACACCAGAATTCCTGGATAATCAGTTCTGTGAAGTATCAAATGCTGTTTGTTTTGTTTTTTACTTTTTATGTTTCTCCTCCCACAGAAAATGCCATAACATAGGACATATTTTACAACATAATCAGTATTGATTAGGAATAATGTACCTTCTGGCCATTTCTTCATCAGACACATCAGCCTCCATTTTATCATCCTCTTCAATTTCTTCTTTCTTGCTCTTAGAGTTCATTTGGACCATTAATTTCTGAAAATGAAGTAAGAAATAGCTTAAACATGTAACCCTGACAAAACGTCAGCTATGCTGAAATAGTGTCACCGCCAGGATAAAAGCACAGAAGGCAGGAAGCAGTTTCAATACTGCTTTCCTACATTTGCAGTACCCTGTTTAGGCTATACCACAGGGCTGCAAGAAATGGCAACATTCCTCCTTGTTGCTAAGCTAAGTTTGATTTGCTTTTGAGAAAAGAGGCAACAGAGAGACAGTTTTTTCAGTGAGCTGCACTATTCAAGCACTCTCAACAACATGGCAGGCAGCTTCAGAAGACCAGAGATTTAGTTTCTAATTTTTTCATTGTGATGCTAGTCTTTGAAATGGTTTTGTCACAGTGGAAAAATATCTGCAAAGATCTACAATAAACTACTAGTATAAACCATGAAGCAATGATAGGCCTAATCACAGTGAAAGCAAGTTCAAAATAACTCTAGGAATGCCCCATTAAATAACCTTGCATAGCCTTCTGCACGCCTCTGGCTTTGTACTTTCATCTTCTTGTTTCAGTTCAGCAGTAACACTTTTATTACTACTTCAGTATGAAATAGTTGTATGAGCATGAATCATGCTGGAAAGAAATGAAAGATCCTCTTGCCCAGAACTTCTAACTCTGGAACCTCAAGCTCTTACTTATAAAAGTAAGTGCTGAATAAACAGGGCTGAATGTTTGTAAGATTGGCTCTGAATTAAACAGGAGGAAGAAGAGCGAGCTATCTTTCTGGTGAGCAGCACGTGGAAAAGTCTCCTGAACTCAAGGAAGGAAAATCTGCAGGAGTCACATACTTATTAACCACCAACACCAGGAGGTAAGAAGTTTCTGTTTCTTAGACATTGCACTGATTGGCATTTTGGCTGAAATCACAGTTTTCCTATATAAGGAAGTGCTGCAAAGGCCAAACAGCATGGAGCGTGAACACTGAAGTCCTCATTCCTGAGGGCTTCAATCCTCAAAAGACAATTAAATAGTACCTCAATTTCCGGATTGAATCCTTTGAAGGACATTCTACCATAAAGTAGATCCTCACATGGCATAAAGCTCCTCTCTTCTATTATATAGCTCCTGCATGAAAGCCCAAACACAGCACTTGTCAAACAGCGTGCTTTAATATAATCAAATTAAACAAACGCAAAAAGCATTTGCTGCCTTCCCCCACACAAATAAACAAAACTGCAGTGTATTTTATACCATCAACTATTTTCTGAAGATTAATTGCTCTGATAAATCTTTCAATACAAAGAGCTTGGAGTGCAAAGGAATACTGCTTGCCAGTAAAGCTGTGCCAGTTCCACAAGAAAATTAACTCTCCTGACAGAAAGCACTCTTTGCTGGTACGATTCCACCTACATTAATGCTTTTGTCAGAATAAAAATACCACATAAATATCACTCTCCAGGTGGCATTACTATACCAGCAAAAGCTTCTAATGAATTTTTCATTGTGATGTTAGACCTGGTATTATTTCAGCCTGTCAGGATATAAATGTGTAATTTTCTGTTCAGCAGAGAAAGATTTTCCCATTCCCCCTCCTTTTTTTTCCTCTTCTAATGACCCTGGAAAGAAAAGAAACACGATCCCAAACCATTCTGTCATACATGGTAACAGCCATGGAAAATAGCTTATAGGTGACCTATTCTATTACAGTTCATTCGCTGGATCACAGCTTTTTACAAATTATATGTTTTCCTTTAGAAGAATTCTGTTCTCTTTTTAAAGGACAAAAGTATTTAAAAAGTAGTTCCTTTGCTATTTAAAGCACCTTTCGACATAGCAGGAAGGGACATTTGCTTCCCTATTAACTAAGCCCTCCTTTATTTTTGCTTCATCCATTCTCCCTCCTTTTTCAAAAACAGGATTTGAAGTGATCTGTACTCAGTAGACAGAACTTGCCCTGAATGGACCCAACCATGTGACTGGATTTCAGGTTACTCATACAAAGTTTCAAATTCTTTTTTTTTTGAATGAAAGAAAAAAAAAAAACCAGCAATGAATGAATTTGTTCCTGCTTGAAAGAAACTAATTACATGCATCTAGAAGAAAGTGGGGGTGAGAGAAAACAAAGTATGAAGAAACGAAAGTAGGTCAAACGCTGGATTATTTAACCTTGAGAACATTTCTGAACAAAAAAACAAAAAAAGCTGTACTCCTGGTCTGCTAATGTTTTTTTTTACTTCTTTCAATTGGTTAGTAATAGTATTTCCTGTATAAGAAAAACAATTACATTCTGTTTGCACTATAAAACAATCCAATGGTGATAAGAAGTACAAAAGTAGAAGCTTACTCTTTCTCCTTTAGGTCTGGTAAATCAAGATACCAGTGTTCGTCACTAATTATCTTCTTTTCCTCTTCATCGAGTTGCTTTTTAGTTTGTGAGTCCAAACCCCTTTGCATGAACTGAAAAGAGAGATACAACTTCAGGCTTTTTGAGTATGTTCTGGCAGGCAATAATTACATGACAACAATTAATCATTACATACTATTTAACCATTGATATAAGCAGTACATGCTTTCTGTGATCTTCTCTGAGCTTGGTTTGTGTTTGGGAAAACAGAGCAGAAGTGAACTGTGGATCACAACCATCTACTGGAAGTCAACAGTCAGCCACATCCACTCTTGGACACAAAGACATCCCAAGAGCTGGGATCTTCCTTTGGGGCTACAGAAAGCACCTCAAAAACTGCATCTGGCAGCAGGGCACATTCACACAGATACAATCTGCAGCAAGAGGCTACCAGTACTGTTTATACACACTGATGTACAAAAATTGCTTGGTGGCCACCAAGAGGAACCTGTCTGTGCAACAGCACAGAAGAATCTTATCTCAATGAATCTTACCTCTCTCATATAAGCAGCATCATTTCCATGCTTAGCTAAGCTTGCAGGCTGATAGATAACACCATTGGGGCTCGTCTGTCTCTTGAACATTAGCAGAGACTTGGACATAATTTTATTCAGTTAGTGTGGACTTGGTTTGGGGATAGAACCCAAGAAGCCATCACAAAATACTTGTCTCCCACAAAAAACATGCATTACTGAGCTTATTTAGAGCACACAGGCAATATGTGTATGCAATATACATCACATATAAACACCCACGCCTTCTCATCATTACAAAAAGTCCAGTCAAAACAAAACAAACCCCATCATGAAAACCAATATAGTGCTAACATCTCATTTTCCATTATATTTTTATTTGCATTCATTTGTGTAAGATCATTAATGAAAGAAAAATTGACTTTTGTTTTCGAGTCAACCCAAAATATGTCAAAGATTTCCAATTAAAATTACAGTATCTGCTTGAGGAAAATGAGGGAATCTATCATGTGGAAAACCATATCTCAAACCATATCATCATTCTCAAGGAGATTGTTTAGCCAGTCAGAAATCTCAGTAGGAGAAATTTTGCTACAAGCACACAATTAAATAATCATTTCACATTACATTTTAAATATTATGTTCCTAACGATTACATCAGGAATAAATAGATAAAAAAAATCTGATTGTATTTATCTGTAAGCACATGTGGATGAATCAAAAATACACCAGTGGGGTAGGTGCAGAGTATGCACGTCAATAATCGTGGGGCTATCTGGATTAGCTGGGACGTGGATCAAGCAGTACAAGAACTAACTTACAATCATATGACTCTATTATGCTAAAAGCAGGAGCCATCTTTTGACATCAAGAGGTGAGCACATCTCCGTGAAAAGATCTGACCACTGACCACACGCCACCTTTGAGTGCATATTGAATTGCAGTGATCCATCTTATCCAGAGGCAACTGCTAAAAGATTATTAAAACATTTGTCAACAACAAGATCTGCAGAAGGGAAGCGCTGAGTATAAGATCTGTGTACAAGATCTGTGTAGAACCTTCTCAAAACCCACGCACCTCTTTTAAGCTGGTTGACGCTGCTTGGTCTCTAAGCCTGCAAATGTCAAGGCACCACATTCATGACTGGTTTTTCACTGCCTGAAGGAAATCTAAAAAAACCTCTAAAAATGGCAAAAAACAGCAGCATAAGTTCCACCTAAGAAGAGATTATTGCATAAAAATGAGAAAAAGATCAGCAGTGCTGCAATCCAGAGTCTTGCCCTCTCTTGCACTGCTGCCTAACTAAACTCAACATCCAATTGCGTTTGAGAACAATGTAGGAGGTGTTTTGTTCCTTCTGTGCATGAATTTTAGCCTTTCACTAGCAGCACCTACTTACTGAGGTAAATATTTCACCATCTTACTGTATCATGGTCCACTCTACGTGGCAGATTGAACCTGTCAGCTAAATATCTTTCAGCCAAGTGTCTAAAAATATGGCCCACATGAACAGGGGGTAAAAAAATGCACAATGTTAAGTGAAACACCACAAGCAAGAAGCCACAGAGGCCCATGTAATCAAAAAATGGCCTGAGTTGAAAAGGACCACAATGATCACGTAGTTTCAACCTCCCTGCTATGTGCAGAGTCGCCAACACCAGACCAGGCTGCCCAGAGCCACATCCAGCCTGGCTGGATTATCAAAATATAACAGGTATCATTTCAAAGAAAAGTTAATGGTAATCCAACTTTTAATAGATGCAGTCTCATCACAGGAGGATGCACTTTACTGAATTAGGTGTTGAATTACACAATGAGAACCAGAACCTGCACATCCACCTGGCCTAAGACACAGAGCTACAGGCATGGTGGGCTGGCCAAGGTAACACCAGCAGCATATATGCGTCTATGGGAAGAGAGGGGGGGAAAAGTGGTCCAAGACACAGAAAGACAAGGGCCACAACGAACAGTCAATCCCTCTCCGGGGCAGCTCTCGTAGCAGCCCCTTGCTGGTGAAGTTGGTTGGAGCAGAGCAGTTCAGAAAGCATCAGGGCTAAGCGAAAAGACAGAACTAAAGACACGCGTTTGTACACATGTAAAAGCACCGCGCACAGGACACAAACAAAGCAGCCTTGCGCGGAGGTGCAAGAAGCGGAAATACCCCGACCCAGCGAGGGGCACTGAGATGGCGGCAGAGGCGCAGCCCCCACCGGGGAGGGCCGCTACAGCCCGGCGTAGCGCGCTGCTGGCCCGCCCCATCCGCTCCCAACGGCCCCGCAGCCAGGCCCGGCCCGGCCTCCCTTTACCTCCCGTTCCCGCAGACCAGCCCGCAGGCAAACCCCCCCACCTCACCTTCATGCGCAGCAAATTCTTGGACAGCTTCGTTTTCACCTCCCCGGCCATGGCGGCCCCGGCGCTGCCCGTAGGCCGCGCTGGATCCCCGTGCTCGCGTAGCGCCGCGGCCGCGTACGTTGGGGGAGGAGAGGCGGGAGGAGGCGCTAGCGGCGCGGCTCCACCCTCCGCGTTCCGGGCCGGCTGATGGCAGCGGGGCGCAGCCCGTAGCTTGGGGCTGCGGAGGAAGAGGGCGGGGGAGGGGGGGGTTGCATTGCTGGTGCGTAAAGTAGCGGCAGCCGGGCTGTATCGAGCCGGTATATAATCGGGGGGGGGGGAGAGTGCGCTCATGAGTAGGAGTGAAAATCAAGATGAAGCGGTAAATTAGTGGAGAAAGCTTAGGTTCTTTATCAGTGCCTGTGCATGTTGTGGGCTTATGGCTTAATACATAATTTTCAGATGTTTATAATGGAAAAGGGAAGAGATTACAAAATCTTTTTCATATTGGCATTTGGAGTCTGCTTGATTTATTCAGCTATCGTTTTTTTAAAAACAAGCATTGACTTCTGCTTGAAAAAAAAAAACAGAAACAGAGCGTAGTCAAATGTGGTTAAAGCTGGAGAGTAAATGGATTTCAGGATGCTGCAAAAATCTTTGCAGCTCTGTTGGTCCTGAATGATGGTTTTGGAGTTCACACTTGGCAATGCTGTCTCTAGGCTGCCAGGCTGGGCCCTGCTGTCCTGATGTGGAAATCCTGATGAGGAGCTGCCAGCTGACACCCAGCCACCAGCAGGCACCACAATTTCTGTATATATCCTCATAAATCAGATTTCTGATGCCTGTTTTGACATTCAGCGCATAAACCAGGCAGTAAAGTAATACGAGTGAGAGTTCAGTGTTCAAAACTGTAATGAGCCAGTGTGCTCAGAAAGACAATCTGGGAAGGAAAGTTCCCATATGTGCAAGATGTAGGTCAAAGTGAGCTTGAAGAACTTTTGAAGATTTATGCTCTAATAGAGTCCACAAAAATGTACAATGAAGGGCAAAGCATTACTGCAGTGGGAAAGAGGGAGGAGGAATAATCTGAATCCGGGCATCTTTACTACACAGTTAAGCTCAGAGGGTTAACATAACCACAAACACAAATGAGCCACATCCACTTCAAGGGCAATCCTTGAAGTGGTGGGGTAGAAATATTTAATTTCTACATAGGCAAAGCAGGTTCATCTCCAGGCTCCAAAAATGAGCTGAAGATGCTCTGAAGTTCAAGGCCCAAATGAGAAGGTCTCTGTGACTGCGGGATCTGTCCTGTTTCGTTTGTCCCCACTGTGTTAGAGCTTCTGTTCATCATTAACAGTTTCCAACCCTTTCCATCAGAAAAAGCTGGGGAAAATTTTGTGTCTTTCCAAACACAAATGTGCATCAAAGTCTATTTGTATCTTAGCAAACAAACCAGTAAGGGAACGCCTTTAGTTTGTATGACAGCACAGTGCCTCCATTAACTCCCCACTTTGGCCTTATTTTCTGTTTTGCATGCACTCTAATGGTGCATTTGCTTTTTGTTGATCATTGCACGTTGAAGCCTTGCATTTAATTGCATGGCCTTCAATGTCATTCAGGGCATTTTCTGAGCAGTTTCAGCTAATTCATAGTCCAGAAACGTACTTCGAATGATTCTTTCTAAATACATTACTCTGCACCCATCAGCACGTCTCCAGCTACTATGCCTGGTTTGTGTGGTGCCCTTTGTGAAAGCTTTCCCCATTCCTTGCACATCACCCTCTCCTGCCTGCATGGCAACATTTCATCAGTCCAAGCAGCCCCTTTCTTCAGCAGCCACTGCATATATCAGCAGCGTGATACCTTTGATGTGATACCACCAACTCTTTAATCTTTGGGAGCTGAGCCTAATAATTTAAAACGGCATGCAGGAGTGCTGGAAGCTGGGAGTGAATGGTGTGAGGGGTTTTGAACTTGACTGTGGAATATTCTGGGTGCTCCCTGGGTTGGCATCCACAGCCTCGGACCTGTGGTGTCCCAATGACACCATGGGCTCACAGAGGTGTGCTGCTGGTTATCTCATGTGCTGGCACATCAGCCAACAACCCGCCTCAATGTGTGCAGGCAGGCAAGAAGAAGTATTTTCCTGTAAATGCAGTACAGCCCGTGTGATGTTTATTTAGAAAAGTGGAGGTTGTAAAACAGCCTGCCATGAGAATTTGATGTATTTCAGCAGTAAAAAAGCCTGAAGGAAATTTTTGGATTACATCCTCCCATAGCTAGAATTGCATGGGGAAGTTACAGATAACAATCAGCTGCCTCGTGAAGCAGATTATACTGTCTGGTAGATCTGAAGACACTCCATTGATTATAGGAGAAAGGTTTATGATTTACTGACGGTGGTGGAGGCAGGTCAGAAGAATCCAGCCCTGTAATGATTCCTGCTTGTGAGACACAGTGAGGGTGAGGAGCTGAAGCAGAAGGGATACTGCTTAGAGAAGATACAAGGCTGTTGTGCATGGCAGTCACACCCCTTTCCCCCAGCTCTGACAGCTGCGCAGCACCTTTGCTTTCAACCTGGAAATCCATTTCTTTTTCAAAACGAAAATGCTCAGGGAAATAACTCAGGGGAGAGGAGCTCCATAAAAGATTTTTCTTCCTAGGAAGCATAGTCCCATCTCTGTAGTAATAATAGAAGTCAAATCAAAGTTGTCATTAGCGTTATTTAAGAATTAATCTCTCTTGAAACAACACAAGTGACAGTTGTGAGCTAATTTCGTGCCAGTGGGATCTAATCTGAGGGAAGTCATGGCTTGCATTTTCTGCAACCTTTTATTTATTCATATGCTTGCAGTTTTGTGATTGTAGCACCAAGCTGATATCTCAGGCCTTACACTGCTCAATTTGTTACGAGCTGACTTTAAATCCCAAAGCACCTTTTTACATATCTCAAAATACTCAAAGCCTTTTTTTTTTTCCTCTGCAAGTATCAAAATTCTGATAGTCTGACAGGCGAGTCATTAACTTGTGTCAAACTCCTCCCTGTGCTGTGAGTGAAGACTTTATGTGTTCTTCTCTGTGAACAAGGAAAACAAGGTGTAGAACTGCTGCAGGTGTGTTTGCAAACCTGAAAGAGTGCGAAGTGCCGCGTAGGACTGGGCAGCATCAGAAACGTGCTTCTGTACCTTGATGCTCTACTCAGAGGCAGTGTGAAATTCTCCGAGCAGCAGAGATGTGTGGTTTTGAGGCAAGGAGTCTTTGTTTTTATCTCCCTTGCTCTCGCTAATGCATGCGGCGTATTGACAGCTCCGATGGCCCTGGGTGGCTGGAGATTTGTTACCATATTCATTCCTTTTGATGAATGCATGTATAACCTGTCGGCCGGCTCGCTTTGTACCTAATGCTCAGAGGACATGGGTTTGTCACAGCTCTCAGCTGCAGCATGTGGCATGGCACATCAGGCTGCGCTGACTCATCCTTGCAGCCTTTGAAGTCCACTTTCTGGTGATGGCACCGGTCGAGGTGGCAGCTGACACATACAGAAAGACTTCAATCCTTGCCATGATAACCCTAAGGCTTCCAGTGGCTGGGCAGAAAATGAAGCTCAGCTCAGATAGCATGGGTAGGGCAGGTCGTGTTGTGAGGCTTTCCTTTTCATAGCCTTACATGCTCAAAATGCATGTGGTGTAAAAAGGTGCGAGTTAAAGATGTGGCAAAACAGTTAGAAAATCTCTAGAACAACCAAGCTGTGCTTTGATTAAAAAAAAAAATAATTGCCAGTTGTCAGTTTGGGAGAAGACAATTAATTCTAAGTGCTTTTGGCTGTCCCCGTGGCAGGATGACCTTTATGTCAATAAATACAATAATTCCTTTTTGATTACAGAAGGAAGCAGCTTGATAATGGTAGCTCCCTATCTTCTATCATCACCTAAAGTGCAGGGGGGAGCAGACACAGGTCTGTCATTCTGATAAGCCTAAAAATTTGATCCTATGATGCAATGATTTAATAGGTCCCACTGCTAGGAGTCAGAGCAGAGAGAGTGACTGGAGGATGGGGCAGAGCATCCTCCTCTTCGCGTTCCTTTAAAAACCAAGCAGCTTTTAGCTCTTTGGATTTGATGGAATCACAATTAAAAGAGAAAAGGAAAATATCACCTTCCGTTTGTTAACTATAAAAATGCAATCTGGCAGTGCTGCTGGTGGTTTGCTATTTCCCAGGTCAATAAATGGCTCCCCTGACTTTAATAAACATTGATGCTGCAGGCTTG